CCAAGAGCTTTGTAAAAAGTAACAAAAAGTGAATGTCAACTGGTCTTGAATGACGTGGTAAGGCCAAGCTGACACCTGGTGGTTCCAGGATAGAATTCTCACAGAATTCCAAGAATTTCCACGGTGGAATTCTCCAGCCCTCCAGACTGGGGACTTGGTTTTGAGTTCACCAGGAGCGCAGCTGCCACCACCTGGCTGTGTCTGGACGGCTGCTCTGAGGCTGGACAGGGTTTGATGGAGCTATCAGACTATGGCAGACGAGGAAGAAAGGCCTGGTGATCTACTGCCCAGAATCAGCCACAGACACAACCAGGCTGTTCTGTTGTGCATTAGCGTGTACATTTTCTCACTTTCCTGCCTACCGCTTTCAGAGCAGTTGGTGCTGGAAGCCAGGCGCCCTCTAACGCTTCAGGTCTGAGGGATGTGGAAACCACTGGTTTTCCATGGTCCAGTAGACCACTAGACCAATAGTGGTCATTCTGTCTTTCTTTCTTTTTACCCTCACTTTTTAATAGTTTTATTGGACCATGTCTTTTGATTTTCAGTACTCTTCCTTCCTCCGGACAGAGGGAGAACAATAATTGTACCTTAGCTGCTCACGAACTTAAAAACCAACAACAACCCAGTTGTTATTCACCCAAGTCAGAGAGACAGAGAGACAGAGGGAGATGCACTGGTCCAGCGAGGAAAATGGCCACGAGGGGCCCCTTACCTGTGAGAGGCCCAGGTAGATGGAGACAGTCTCCGATATGTAGAGAAACTTCCCCTCCTGGTTCAAGGCAAAGACGAAACCGTCCAGGGACTAGAGAGGGGAAAGACAGAGAACGATTAGGGGAGGGCCAGGCGCCCATCTGTCCAGCTGACAAGTTGTGAGAGAGGATCAGAAACCTGTGTCTCAGCATGTGATGGACTGTTTGGCGGAGAGGGGGACTTCCAGTGGGCCGGTGTGGGAGCAGGGGGCTCCGAGCCTGATTGGATGAGAACGGATGCGGAGGAAGTGGCTAAGTGCATGCATGCAATTCCTCATAGTGGCCACCAGGCGGCAGCAAAGAGTAACAGGCAGGGAAGGCGCCTCACCTGCAAGATGTGTCCTCCCAGGTGCTGCTCGAAGACATCTGAGACCAGCGCCAGCGAGGCCCTCCTGGCTGGGGCTGAAGCAGAGGGGTGGGGGTTGGGGTGAGGCCAGGGCCTGGGGGTTTTGAGCAGGTCCCCTTAAAAGCTGCCCTATAAATCACCCCCTTTACGCCTTTAGTCTCGGCATGTTGGAGACCTAGGGCCCCTCCAGAAGGCGCCCTGGTAGTACAGTGGATTAAATGTAGGGCTGTGAACCAAAAGGATGGCAGTTCTCAACCATCAGCCACTCCAAGGGGGAAAGACGAGGCCGTCAGCGTCTGGGAAGATTTACAGCCTTAGAAACCCTAAGAGTAAGAATCAACCACATGGGTTAGATTGGGTGGATTAGATTGCTGTCAGGGCCTGTGGCAGTTACATAATCTCCTGTCAATTTGAGCGAAGGGGTGGAGTCTAGCCTGTCAATCAGGTCGCAGCTCGACGACCTCATTTGGAGGCACGGAGGAACTAACTAGCTCTCTGGAGGGCAGACCCAGTCTCTGTGCCTTCCCTTTCATGTGGAGACGCTCCAAGAGCTGGAGGAGACACGTGGAGACCTGAGCTAGCGTTGAGATGCTTCCACTACCACTGGTTCCACAAGACCTTCTACCCACTGGCCTGTGACCTTCCTGCATTCGGCATCATTGCATGTACCGCGTGAGTCTAGAAAGGAATTTATGGACTATTGTCGGACATATGAGCTAATATTGGACTTATGGACTTGATCTGGAGTGAGCTGGGATGTTTTCTCTATATACAATCGCTCTTTTATATAGCGCTTTCTTATACACATAGGATGGCCTCTGGATTTGTTTCTCTAGTCAACCCGGACTCAAACAGGGTCCTTAGGTCCTGCAGGGTGGTGGTAGTGGTGGTGGGTGGGGGGAGGAGCTAGAGGTAGGGAGGGGCAGAAGAGGAATAGATGGGAAGAATAGGGAGACAAATAGAGAAACTGAGGCACACATGGGACCCACCAAGCGATGCAGAAAGGAATTCATTCATTCATGTTGCATTCATTCATTCAGCCAGCAAGCAAATACTCCTGGGTGCTAGGCCCTAGATTGGGGACACAGAGCTCCAGCCTTGCCCACATGATGCTCCCAGGACAAGGGACGTGGTAACAGAGTTGTCCTGTGTGACTGGTGCCAAGAAGAAAGACTAGGGGAGGTTGATGGGACACATAGAATCATGGGAGACACCGCCCACGGCCAGAGCCGTTGGATCTCAGCCCTGAAGGGCAAGAAGGGAGCGGGGAGGAGACTGATGGAGCGGGAAGACGGAGGCAGACAAAGACTTGGGGTGACAAACAGAGACACAGTGAGATGGAAGGAGGAATGAAGATGGAAACTCACTGCTATGCCCTTGTCACCAGAGTGGACTACTCCAAGGGTGTGTGCGTGTGTGTGTGTGTGTGTGTGTGTGTGTGTGTGTGTGTGTGTGTGTGTGCTGGGGCCTAGGCTGGCTGTGATTTCTTTACTTTATTTTTAAAATTAATAACTCATTTTATTGGGGGGTCTCACATATATTATCACAATCCATAAGTCAATTCTAGCAAGCAAATTCGAACAGATGTTGCCATCAATTTCAAAACACTTTCTTGGTGAGCCCTTTGATACCAGCGCCTCTTTATTCCCTCCCTCCCCCACCCTGCCACCCCCGCGAACCCTTAATATATTCTACTATTATGGTTTTTTTACATATCTTACACAGTCCGACAGACCCCTTTACGTACAATTCTGATATTATTCCCCCTCAAGGGGGGCTGTGATTTTTATGGAAGCCGATTGCCAGGACTTTCTCCCGCGGTGCTACGGGGAAGGATCAAACTGCCAACTGTTTAGGTTAGCAGTCCAGAACAAAGGAATGCTGGCGGGCGGAGGGGGGTGCCGGTTGGGTTGGGACCCACCAGTCACTCTGAGGGAGAAAGATGAGACGTCTGCTCCCGTCAAAGCGACAGTCTGGGAAACCCACAGGGGCAGTTCCACCCCCACGTATAAGGTCGTCTTCAGTCTGAATCCACGCCATCGGTGGCGGTGGGTTTGTTTGTTTAGTCTAGTACAAACCATCTGGGGGACCTGGGGGCTTTGGAGAGAGCAAGAGACACAGAGACATTGAGCCAGAGATAAGGCAGAGATAAACCCCCCGGCCTGGCTGTCTAGAGGAGTCCGACTGACTTAGAGTAACCCTCCTCTAGGGCAGAGTAGACAGCCTCCCGTGGTTTCCGTGGCTGTCAGCCTTAAACCCAAGCAGACTGCGTGTTTCCTCGCGGCTGGTGGGTTCAAATCGCTGACCTTCCGGGCAATGCTTAACCCACTGCCCCACCAGGTCTGTGCTTGAGACGGGGATGGGGGGAAGAATATAGATAGATGGGGAAGAGAGAGAGAAACAAAGTAGAGGGTGGAGAATGGGGCAGAGACACAGCCCCCTGACCCATCTCGAACAGGGGACCCTCAGACCTCATCCTGGGGCCCCCACGCTGCTCGGCCTCAACAGAGACCCCTGGGTCCCGGATACCCCCTCTGGAGATCCAGACACTCCAGGGAAGCCGAGGGGAGACGGGTGCCTTGGAGGGCCCCGGGAAAATCGAGTTCCTGCAAGGCTAAGAGCCCAAGGTCTGATGCCAAGACCCAGTGCTTGCTGAGCCTCCCTCGCTGGGTGCCCTCAGACCAGTCCCTCGCCTCCCTGGGCCTCAGTTTCCTAATCTGTCACATGGTTTTGCGGGGCGTCAGCCTCAGGCTGCTAGGAGCTGCAGGGCCCTGCACAGACAGGGGTCGGTGCCCCCAGCAAAGTCCAGAGGACAATATTGTGATTGCGACAGTTCAGCACACCTGGCAGGCGGGCAGTGGTGGGCGACTTCGACCCCGCCCCTCCGGAATCCGAGCTCCGCCTCCCGCGGTGCCTGCCCCGCCCCTAACGTGAAGCCCCGCCTCCTCCCAGGGGGTTGCTGCCTGTGACTCGCTTTTACCCATTCTCCCCCCAACTCCCCGCCCCGCCGGGAGCGCCGGGAACAATAACAGGGGAGGGGGAGGGAAGGGGGGAGGGGAGGGGCCCCCAAGATGCGCAGTGAAGCAGCCGGGTGACAGGAGGGAACAATGCTGCTTGCTAATTGTCGCAATTTTCTCCTGTCATTTTTGCTAATTCCTTCATTTTCCCTCTCTAGGGATCAGCCAGGGTCAGACGGAGCCGCTGCAATTAACAGCGTTAATGGGCGCCGTGGGGGGATGTCGGGGGGCGGGGGGAAGGGCTTCGGGATCCACGGTTCCCCAAACACTGGCCCGCCTCCCTCCGGCCTCCCACACCCCCCAGGGCTGGGGACCCCCTGAAGTTTGTCACCACCACTGACTGCCAGTAAGCAGTATCCCAGCCTCTCCCCGCTTCCCCAATCCGCCAACTTCCGGGCTCCTCCCGCCAGCACCCCAGCTCCTGGTCCCCCAGTCACCCCTTGGGTCTTCACTCTGCCCAGGGCTGCCCCCCATTCCCTACGTCTGGGCCCCCAGCGTCTCGCAGTCATTCCCCAAGTGAGTCCAGAGTTTCTCGTGTGCCTGAGTCGCCCAGGGGATGGACAAAACTGTGGCAGGGGGAATGTGACAGAGGCAGGGGGCACCCAGGGATATCACAGCAGGGCATTGGGGGGCAGACTTGGAGGAAGCGACCAGGTGGAAGAGAGGGAGTCTGAGGGGCAGAGAAGAGGACTAAGAGGCAGAGATAGGTTCAGGCCAGAGAAGTGGGGGGAACAAGAGCGGAATGATTTTCAGGGTCTTAATGGTCCTGAAAAGACTGGTAGTGGGGGTGAGGGGCTGGACTTGCTTTAGGGGGGCACTGGAATCCCCCTATCCTCAAAGAACCTAGAGCCCTTGATTCTGGTAGGTGGGGGGGACGGGTGTCAGGGACCTTGGGCCTATACTTTCCCGTTCCTGAGAGCAGGCAGGAGGCACCTGAGCCCTCTGTACCTCCACCTTCTAGAGGTTCTCCACCTTCCTCATGCCGAGACCCTTTCAGACAGTTCCTCATGTTGTGGGGACTCCCCAGCCATAAAATGATTTTCGTTGCTACTTTATCACTACTGCTACTGTGATGAATCAGGCGAGCCTTGTGGGAAGAGTCGTTCGACCTCCAAAGGGGTCTCGACCCACAGGTTGAGAACCGCTGTTGTAGCGTTCCTAGCGCAGGTCTAACGGCCCCTGCCCACACGGAGTCACCTGAATCCACCCACCACCCTCCTGGGCCTCTGTCGTCACCTCCCCACAGGCTCACTGCACCTCACTTCATGCTTTCCCCTCTGGAGTGTTCCCTGTGCAGTAGAGAATCACACCCCCGCCTCCTCGCTGCCACCCCTCCTCTGCTCCTGGCTCACCTGGGCCCCAGGGTTTGGGTCTGGCCCAGCTCACCTCCTGCCCACTTCACCCCTTGCCAGACACCCTGGCCTCAAGCAAAGCAGAGTCTGGCCACCCCAGGGCCTTTGCACCTTCTGCTGCTCCTCCTCCAGCTTCCTCCACACCTGAGCTCCAGGGTCACCTCCTGATGAAGGAGGAGGCCAAGCATGACTTGGGCTCCAGGAGGGTGGCCCTCCACCCCTCACCCAGTTCCACTTCCACCCCCACTGGCATCACGCTGGTCCCTATAAGACCGGCTAACCACCCCCCTACTCCCCCCCCCTTGAGTTTCTGGGACTGTAAAACTCTTTATGGGAGTAGAACACCCCATCTTTCTCCCACAGCAGGGTGGCCCATGGTTTCAAATCACTGCCCTTGCCCCCCCACGGATGCTCCCTCCCTATATTCCATAGTAGCCAACAAATATTTCTGGAGCCCTTGCTGGCTCTGTGGGTCAGGCCACAGGGTCCAGCGTTCAAGGTCTGGGGGAGAAAGATGGTGCTGTTCGCTCCAGGAAATGCGTTCCAGCCTCCGAAACTCAAAGAGGCAGCTCCGTTCTGTCCTGTAAGGTGTCAGAAGTCTCTGGCTTTGTTCGCATTAGCGAACTTTGGACGACGATTCCGCCCGCCCCTTCCCTGAAATCCGCACTAGGAATCTCGCAGGAGCCC